TAACAGGACCTCGCATTGTCTACTTACCCTATAGTGTTCCTGCCTAAACCCAGAGAAGTGCAGTAGCGAAAACATGGCAATGAAAAGGAAAGTTTTAAGCACTGAAGAGAAAGTTAAAGTGATTCGTGAAATATTGTGTGTATTTTCAGTGAAAAGCGCTGTAATATGTCTTTGATATTACACATTTGGGCAATTCCACATTAATGTTACGTTAGTCTGTACTTAACTATGTATTTCACTAAAAAATGCAACATTTTAACTCGGTTTTTGGTAGATATTTACGTGACTAACATAAGGCTACTGTGGAAGTGCCCATTTCGGTTACGACATTCGTTTATAACGACACTATTTTTAGTTCCCTTTGATGACGTTATAACCAAGTTCTACTGTATGTTCGCCATGTATTTGCCTGATGATGGCTCTTAGGAGCCAAAACATGCAGTAGAGCCCAACTAGGCACTGACCTCAATTTAGTTGTGTTGTGACGGTTTTAATAAAGAAATTGTACTGTCATACATATTGTCACATTTATGAGTTTCTATACATGGGGTTTGGATTGGTAATCGGATTTACTGAACTCTTACAAATTGTAGCTACAACTATAGTGCTACTGCTAATTCACATGCTCTGCAGGTCACTACAGCATGTATGAAGTCTCCTCAGTCTGCTGTACCCTCACCACTAGTTGCTGGTAATGGCTTTCAATGCTGCAGCTTCCTCAGCTTCAGTATTCATGTCCTTACTGGCCAGCAACTATCTCACAGCTAACTAAACTCTAGACCTGTCACGTTTATAACATCTCAGCAATAAGCGCATAGAAAACACCTCTCCCAAGAGTTCTACTGTTGCATCATGTAGCTGTCACACGCACTACACAGAGAACACGGCTTCCTAGTTACTCCATTGGTGCATGTAATGAATCTGTTGTAGCCATTACCTAGCAACAGCTGTTACTTACAGTGCCATAACATAGGAATGGCTGTTGTATAGCTGTTTATTTTGCAGTCACTTTTTAGCAATGGGTCTACATGTCACAATACGCAGAAGTGAATAAGCATGGCACAGGCAGCACTATACATCAACAAATCAACAACGCTCTTCCTTGTGAAAGCAATATGTGTGCAATACAATAAAGATCAGATGATATGCAGAAAGCTGGAAGAACGATCCCTGATAAAACCAAGATCACATGAGGACTTAACACGAAGAACTGAAAAGACCTATGGCAAGCATACAGCACTGAAAACCTGCCATACTGTCTAGTCAAACAGATGTGCATGGCAGCTTTCTGTAATGGCTGATGCGATAAGTACTGTGCATTACAATCTGCAATCCAACACAGTGCATGGGGCTTATTCAGGCACTACCACACATGGACAGGCAGTTAATCTGATGACAATTGGCAGATGAGGATGAAGTATGCCATAAAATGGAATCCCACATCCTGAAACACATCCTCAGGACATGCAGGACCTCATCACATTGTATATGCTTCACTCCTCTGAGCACACTATTACACACTTGCTACTCTCCACCTGAGATACTATCTCAATGAGATGGACAAATTCCTCTATATCAAGGGTATCCAAACTACAGCCCGCGGGCCACATCCAGCCTGCGAAAGAATTGTACAGAAATGCACCAATTGAACTAATTTTCCAATGAGTACTGCTAAAAAAAATACTTGTTCATAGATTTCAAATTCATTAACTCTTCAGCGCGGGCATTTAAATATCACTGTTGTGGGTCCTCCTGTGGTAGTATTTTTTAATTGCCCATTTAAATTTTGCTCTAAATTATATTATGTTTCATAACTTCTGAACTATATGAGGTATAATTATGAATTTTTCACCGAAATCATCTTAAAAGATGGTTTTATAATCTTTCCTTATAATACGAGCGCCCTGTATCTGAGCGATGGAAGCAAGTGGATTAGAAGTTGAGTTTTGTATGGTATTTCTTGAAACATCCATCTAAACACAACCCTGCCTCACATCCACTACACGAGAAATAAATTCTTTCCTTTTACCATGTTTTGCGAACACCACACATCTTTTTTTAGGCTTTGCTTTCTTCCTTTGGCTGGAACACACTCAGGAAATGTCGTTCTGTGAATCTTTTAGGCAGCAACTCAACTGACGGACGGCCGTATACAGGATGAGGAAAACCAGAACTGTGATTTTCAACGAGGCCTTGTGCTAACGAAATTCTGAACTTCAGCATGCCCATGTTTTTGTTATCCGGGAGACACTGATATATGATCACTGCGTTATGTATTGCTACATTGAGTAGCCTCTTGAATAACTTCTGATACAACTTAGTACTCTTCTTTCGTTCAAGTAAGTACGGCTGTAGCATTTGATCCTTCAGATCCATTCCTAGCATGTTTCTGTTGTAATCACAAACAACCAAGGGCTTTGTTTCTGGTTTGCTTTATTCTCAACCACGTGCATATCATCTTTGTGGTATGCTGATATCATAGTAACTCGGCCATCGTAACTGTGAGGTCAGCGTTCTATTTAGATTGACTGGCAGAGCTGCAGGAAATTGAATGTTATGTTTAAACGAACAGAGAGCACATTCTTTTCATAACAGCCCAGTGCGACTGTCATCATGCTGGTGTGGTTCGTTCCATATTTATGGGCCTTCGAAATTAAGCTTACAGCTTGGCGTACAGTGTACGGCAAACCATGCTGATGGGTTAATTAAGACTGTGTTTAAAATATATTGATATTCCATATTATGTTAATATTAATATTATTCACAATTCTATTAATTCTCGACCGTATACTGCGCGGTATTTCTTCGTACTTGTTCAGCCTCGATCGGCAGTGTCACTTCGTGGCAATGTAGGTAGTGCAAGCAGTTCATTACTAGCTGTCTTGTGCACAAGACTTCTTGCAGTGGTGCAGTGTGATTGTAACAGATCATCATCACCGCCGGTGTCGTACTTATTACCATTTTTGTATTAAAGGCAACTTATGCCCAGTTTTGCTCAGAGCAAAGTTGATACTTCTGGAAAGCCAAGCGAATAATTGTAACTTTGTAAGTTTTGAGGTTTTCACGGCGATGACAATGAAGAAAGTCGTCTTCTGGGTTTAGGCACCGTGTATTCTTCGTTTTGGCCGACGTTTCGGAGGAACGTAGCGCCTCCATCTTCAGAGCAGTTGAATAGCTTGGAATGCGGAGAGCAGTAGCTGTAGCAGCTACTGCTCTCTGTTAAGTTCAAGTTAAAAATACAGGGCAAATTTAAGCGATGAACATTTAAAGTTGCTACTTGTGATTAGCATTTCAAAATTTGAACCTCAATTTAATCAGATTTTAAGAATGCAAAAAGAGTTCCATCAATCACATTGTTTTATTATAATTTGTGATGAAAATATGAGCATTTGCTGCTAATGTCTGTTGTCATTAATATATGATAATTTATTCTCACGTACTTTGTATTTAGTTTATGTAATTCTGTGCTTTCAATAAACTCATATACCTAGAGTTATTAATTTCTCATCTTATCCGGCCCATTGAAAGTGCTGAGTTACTTAATGTTGCCCGCATGATACATGGGTAAAATCATTTCAGCCCAAACTAAAAGTCAAAAAATGGCACAACCTCATCTCATCACACAAACTTCACCAAGAACCAGGTAACATCAATGTAATGAAAACTATGGGGCACACTAGTTCAAACACTACTACTGACATAATGAAATCTGAAATATAAGCAGTGACTATGTGCTTTCAATGAGCACAGAAGAAAAGATATATCTAGTTCCACTATCACAAAATTTTGCCAGAAATGCAGTAAGCACTTCCCAAATCTAATCTGGACTTTCAGAAACACAATTACCAACTTCATAAACTATAGGAAGCAATGTACATTTTTATCATGTGAAATGTAACAAAATTTAATAAACAATTACTGTAACTAAAATACAAAGCCTTTAAAACATCTCCCACAAAAACAACTGTACGTATCACAGTGAGGCTCTGAGCAGTGTACAAATCTTCATAAAGTGGGTATCAAAATTATATTGTTTTTCAGAAGTTCTGGGCAAATGTAATCGATTATGTATCTGAAAATTAATGTTTACTGTACGACAGCTTCCACCATGGAACTTCACTGCCTTATAAAAAAAAAAGTTCATTGACCAAAAGAAATCAAATTTGGCCACGGAATTCAAGCACCATAATCCAGTCTAAACGCTAACAATAAATTACAACAGCACGCAAACTCTTACTACTTATCCCATTACAAACCACCTTTTCATGGCAGTCGATAATATACAAGGATCTGAACTACTTCATACTGTTTAGTACCTACTTCTCAGGTTTAAGGACTATATGCCTTTGGCTAAAAAAAACAGGTAAATGTTCTGTAACACTTGGTTTCACACGAACTGTAAGCGAAGCAATATGAAAAATGCTGCATTACAGTAGCAAACAAGGCACAATTTGTACATCATCCAGTGAACTGTATATAGAATAAACTCATAACATCGAAAACTGGAAATAAATTAAACATTTAAATGCTGAAAATTCGAAGTAATTTTTTTCTAAATACTGATGGGTCCTTGTTTACTTCTCCTAAATATACGAATAAATGCCGATCTTATAATTCCATAAGCGAAGAATCCAAAATACTAAGAAATATCACCTCCACTTAATTTAGTTATCAAAACATTCTCCGTTCCAAAATTTTCTTCGAAACGGTCTTAATAATCGCCACGGGAAGTACCAAATCTAGCACTATGTCCAACTATTTACTTCCCATTCACAGACAAAGTTAAAATAAAACATTTTGCTTCTTACAGTAAATAACTGCTAACTATGGGTAGTAAACAGAATAATTAATTTTCACACAAATTGGCCGCCGCAGGCCTGACACATTCTGCCGCCCTTCTTATTTTACAAACAGCGTCCTTACTAATTTCGTAATCTCATTACAGTAACCATTCCACTAGATACAGCGATCAACAAACGCATTCCTCACCACAGCATTACCTTATTATTACACGTAATACATAAAGCTTTCTTTAATACTTCCAATCCACTTCAGAACACTTTAAGAACAAGTACAAAATGGCGTAGAAATACTTTCACAGACTTCAACAGCTTCCCAGGAATTAGCGTCGCGTCGGATTCACAGGACTACCACGACATGTAAATACTCTACGTAATACGCAACAGTCATATCACAAGTTATGCAGCTTTACTTTATAAAAAGTATCATGGATTCCTTTACATAACTGCACTAGACCATGAATTATCGGAAATTACTGCTATTAAATAGAAAATCATTCCTGTAATTACCCCACATGTAATTTCTGTCGTTGGCTACCATGGAAAATCTCGTTTAAAAAAAGAACTGAAGTGCGTTCATACATTTCTGTCAATCAATAGTCAAGCAATGGGTAGGTGATAGCAGCCACACCAGCCGTACGGTTTCACAAACTTCGTATAATCTGGATCACGGATAACCCACATAGCGTAGCAATTGATCCCCCACATATTGGCATAAGACTGTAATGCAATGTCTCGCAAACTAATTATATAGTCATCGTAACAAATTTTAGAGGGGACCGTAAAGTGCATACACTTCATCACAACTTTTCTTAGATGGGAACACATTTCACTATCGCAGAGGACAATGCGTCACACACACACACACAACAGAATAATTAAAAGTTAGTATGGTTTACGAACAGTTTTCCAATACTATAGGACCATGTCGAACATAATAAATATGTACTAATACCATTACAGCATCGTTATAAAACTGAATCAAATTGAAAGTTTAATAATTCATATTGGTGCAGGGGCTGGGCGCAAAGATCGAAAGGTCGATTACCACGGCTTTGCATTGCCTGCGTGAGCCTCCCATTCGGTCGAAACTATGGATCGTTGAAACTTACTTACTTACGGGGCTGAGCCCTTCTTGAGGAGAAGCCAAATCTGCAGCTACTCAAGAATTTCCCAGCATTTTATAAAACCCGAAAGTTCATTGCCGTGTTCACAACATACATACGCTGGTCTCTATCTTGAGCCAGATAAATCCAATCCATACCATCCCATCCTATCTCTCTAACATCCATAATAATATTGCCCACCCACCAACGCCTTGGTCTTCAGAGTGGTCTTTTTCCTTCTGAAGTGGGAAGTCCTTGAGTAACTGCAGAATCGGCGGCTCCTCCAGAAGAGCTCAGCTCCATGAGTAAGTAAGTAAGTAAGGAAATAACAGCTTTTGTAGGTAGTGCACATTTTCAAAGTAGCGGGATGTCCAACTAATCGGGTGATTCTTTACTTCTAGTATAGCAGCGCAACCTAGTGGTAGTATCGTTTGTACCGCTCCGTTACTTAACAGGTAATTTTTGTAGTATCCGTGTAGTAATTCTGGTGCGATTATAGAATTTGTGACCTATCAGGCATTTATTTCTCTGTGGAAAATGGCAAGTCATTTGTTTGATGTTAACAACGGTTACAAAGCATAAATTTGGTACAACCCGCAGTCGTAATGGGGTCTAGGTATGACAGAGCTATTACAGTATTTTCACCTGATGGTCACTTACTGCAAGTTGAATATGCCCAGGAAGCTGTTCGTAAAGGATCCACGGCTGTGAGTAATTCTACCTAGTTTCACACCATTGCATGCATACTAAAGGTTGGGGGCGTTTAAATGGTCCGGTGCAAAAAGGATGTGACTCCATGTGAACAGACATATAAAAAACATCAAAAATATGTTTATTCATTCATTTAGAACCACACCACGTCGTGGCTTAATTTTAGTTTTGACGGTGTAATTAAACACTTGATCCATACACACAAATGTAACACCAAATTTCGGCCACAAGTAGAGGTATCCTGTTTTTGCACTGGGCCCTTCAGTTAATTTCAGATAGAAGACATATTTCTTCCGCATATAGCCTCCACGACGCTCTGAAATTTTTATGGCTTGTGATGCAGCTTGAAAGTTCCTTTGGTGTTCTAGAATGATTTGACAACACCGTCCAGTGTGACTCAAATGTATGTATGTATTTATTTCGTCTCTATAGATCATTGTTACATGATATAGGACAAGTCAGTTACTGCAAATTGGCTGATTACAATAAGAGAATAAAGTTACAATACTTAAAATTGTTTGCAATAGATTACAGTAGATTACAATAGTTAAGATTTCACATAGTGTGAGGTGGAATCCATATTAGGTCTCCTCAGCATGTCGGCTTCCATATGTCCTATTGGGCCTGTACTGGTGATAATGTTTATGGAGAATTTGATGGAATGAGGATTGGCAGGGGAAACCGAAGTACTCGGGGAAAACCTGCCCCAGCGCCATTTTGTCCATCACAAATCCCACTTGACTAGACCGCAGCGGTGGGAAGACACCAACTAACCGCTTAAGCTATGGCGTGGCCTTTGAGATAATACTGGTGAATTTGGTGATACCACTGGTATAACGTTTCACTGTAGAGTCTGCACTGCAACAACTCATTACATCTGTTCTCACTTCTTGGTGCAGCTTCTTGGCATCTGCAATCTCTCCAGAATAGCCCATTCATGTATATCTCCGACTGCGTTATCTTGGTTGCTGGAAGAAAGAAAGGAAAACTGCGCAGTAGGGATTCCCAAAACTGATAATTCATGAATTATGTGGTTATAATTGATTAGTGTTTGTCTCACACGAGAGAAACTCATCCACTTTATAAAAACAATGATCGAGTAGGTAAGTTTTCAAAGTGCTTTTGAACTTATATAGTACTGGTATTTCTGTAATATATCGT